GTCCTCAAAACGCAAAGCTATGGCAGCCCCGCTGCAGTTTCGGTTTTGAATAGAAGTGTTCGTTTGTCTTGGTTAAGGCTTTAGTACTTGAAAGTAGGGGATTGCATTCCGCTACACTCGAAGTGGTTCTTGGAAAGAACGTAAGGTCGGTGACCTTAGCTTCAGTAAAGAGCTACGGCAGCCCCGCTGAAGATACATATACATATCATGTTTCATCCTCCAAACGATACTGTTTTATTCAGCTTCAGTCATCGAAACGCTAATGCATGCTGCCTAGTGCAACGCTATTGTCGTGAACGCGCAAAAAAAGTTTGACTTTAAGGCTCCGTAGTGTTTTGGGTAGCCGCGCAGTATGTGCCCAAGCAATTTTTTACCTTTTTCTCACTAAAATACGAACTACTTAAATTTATTACAGGATTTTTATAGAATTTAGCTCAGATTCTTTGGGATAAAAGTTAAGTGATCCCAGCTATATCCAAATTTGTGCTACTTTGGAGATGTAATTATCTTCCGTCTTACAAACAGCGAATGCGTTGCCCGAAGCCAGCAAGGTTGCTGAATATTGACAGGGCAACCAGGACCGCACCACAATGCCAGCCCTCAAATAACGCGGTATGCTATAACAACGGTGTATACTACTTCCTTCATTCAATTTTAGCAATTTATCAACAATCATACTGAGTAGTCTAATGTTGAGATTTGAAACAGTGCTATTCAGTATATGCGAATAACGTTTAGTGCGAATTGAGCGTATAACAACAATACATGTGATGAACGACGACGAAGCTAAATTTCTAATTGTTAAACACACCACTAAGCGCTTCAAAGCGGCCACGACGCTGGATTTGATCTGGATATTGCATCCATGCTTTCTCAATTTCCCCTCGCAACTTCAACATATCTGATGGTACAGGACGCTGGAACAGCTCAGCGTATCGATGCCAAATGTCAGGGGGAATTAGCGCCGCATACGCTAACAAAATACAGTTTCGCCACTTGCCTAAGCTTTTTTTCCACGAGGTGAAGGCCGCAATATCACCAGGAGTATCACACGCACGCCTTGAGATCTCCTGTACCTCAACATATATGGATTCGAAAGCAGCTTCGCAGGAAATTGCGTTGTAAAAAGCCTCATCAAACGGCGGCAGCGACGCATTCCAAGCCGTCAGTGTCTTTTTTAAAGGCTCTGGCAATTCGTTAGGGTCCTCGCCACCAATTGGAGAGGATGCAGTTATGTTCCCACTCGCTCGGTTCAAATTAGGCGCGACGAATTTTTGAAGGTACGCACGACAGTCGTGATTTTGGAACGGAATGCAGTCGCTTGCAAGTTTCCCTAGCTGGCATTGCTCAAATCAGGTTTATGCATTAAAATAGAATGCCTTAGGTTTTGACGGTTCTTATTGTTTTGACTAACCGAATTGGTGATCGTGATGTTCACGTGTTTATCGCGCAAAATCTCTTTTAGCATATCAACAGTCAATACATTGTTCTCACATAAGTAGTGGATGGGGGTATAGCCAATCTGTAGCCACGACACGTCATAACCAGTGAAAGAACGTTAAATTGCTGTATGAAACGTACATTGTTTTTGATGTTAAAATTGGCTTTGTGCTTCAAAAGCTCTCGGATGACGATCCCAGTCACGCGACTATTCTGACAGATATAATGTGTTGGGGTTGATTGAAACTAGAATTTAGAATTACGAGAAGATGTATCCATGTCAGCATATCTCCAGAGCATTTAAGATTCACACGTACATGGTTCTGATGGTTAAGGTTTGCTCCCGCCTCCAGCATCAAGCTGAACATGCGATTCGAGACAAAGCAATTCTCAGCTAAATAGTGCAATGCGACGTTGCCGTGCTACTCAACAAATAGTAAAATAGAATTGCGATAACTTCCACAACATTTTCATTCATGTACCGAATCCACTAAGTTCAAATCGGGCTTGGCCTGCAACACAGCCTCCAGGGTGTCAATGGACAACGCCTCGTTCCCGCAAAGAAAATGCAGCGCCGATTTTTTGTTGTCCTGCCATGCATTTAATGCACCTAGAGTTAAATTCCGACCAAAAAATTTTTCATTAACTGACACGCACAGAAGTCTGAAGATCAACATTAGCCCCAGCTGAAAGAAGTTGGTGGATACTTGGCACCAGGTCCTCTTCGCTTCCGCTTTTATTCGTACACAGAAGGTGCAAGGCACTCCATCCCCTCTGACAGCACCAAAGGATATCAGCTGTTATAAACGATAAGTGGTCAGTTTTGCACTTCATTCACCTCGTCAACGACGTTTGCATCAAAATTTGCGAGTAGAAGTAGCCGTAGCCCCTCAGTGCGAGCTGCTGGCTTCACTAAGCAGTTTTCGCATAAAAAATGAATAGGTGTCCAGCCGTCTAGCAGTGCAGTTGGGTCCACGTCAGCGCCTAGGGCAGCCTGCAGCATAGGCGTCTCACAGGGGCCCTGAACCTCGTCCCACAATGCCGCGTGCTTTGAATTCATTAAAAAATCGTCAAATGAGGGAGTCCGATGGCGATTCTGATTCAATTCTGATTCTGATAGGCAACTTCGTTAAAGATCAAAATGCGGGATCCTGCGACGTGCGCGACTCTAGACCAATTCCAAATGGTCCATGTTGATCTGGAGCTAGATATACAAATGGATCTGAAGCGTGTGTCAGGTGTATCAACATTGTTAGTAAAAAAACTCAGCGACGCCGTGACTACTTTTTCTCTAGACGTATGTCACTTGATCATCCACTCAGTATACGTTGCGCTTCCTGAGAAGGAGGACAAAAGTGCAGCTCACTGGAGTGTTAAGCCCTTTACCTCATTTGGTGATATGCTGGAAGTTGATCTACCGGAAGAGCTGGCGCTTGCACGTGCCTTTAGAGTCATGGTCCACTACGATACGGACCCAAAGAGTCCGGCCATCTGCTGGCTTGAGAAAGAGCAGACGATGGACAAAAAGCTGCCATTTATGTATACTCAGGGGCAAGAAGTCCTTAATCGCAGTCTCTTTCCTTGCCAGGACTCGCCGTCCATTCGTATCACGTACTCCGCTGCTGTGATCGTACCCAAGGAGCTTGTTTGTGTGATGGGTGCCAGGCTATGCAGTGTAGAAGATTATAAAGTTGGTGATACGGATGAAGAGAGCAATGCAATCGCTCAAAAGAGAAAGTTCAGATTCGAGATGAAGCAGTCGATTCCGACTTATCTAGTGGCGATGGCGGTGGGAAACTTAGTTGAAGCAAAATTGAGTCGACGGTCGAGCATCTGGGCGGAGCCGTGCATGTTAGAAGCCGCTACAAGAGAATTTGATGGGGTTCTTGAGGAATACCTAGCGATCGGTGAGCAGCTTTTTGGAGATTATCAGTGGGAGCGCTATGATATGCTAGTGATGCCTCCTTCTTTTCCATACGGTGGGATGGAGAACCCTCGCCTTACTTTCGTGTCACCCTGTGTAATTGCTGGTGACAAATCACTTGTATCGAGTACGTTGTCATAATTTTGCATGAAGGATTTTTACTGTTGCAGTAACAACTTCTTCGATTTCTGAAGTTGTGGCGCACGAGCTTTCTCACTCATGGTTTGGAAATTTGGTCACAAACGCTACATGGAGCGATTTCTTTCTCAATGAAGGTTTTACGATGTACGCGGAGCGACGCATCATCGAAGTTTCGCGTGGCAGGTAAGATGAATCCATATTCGCCATATGCAAATCCTCGTAGTCAACTTGTAAATGTGTTCTGTCTTTGAACGTAGACCATTAAGTTGTTTACATGCCAAACTAGGAGAAGCTCAGCTTCGTGAGGAAATCTATTCGCTTGGAGAGCTGTCGCCTCTGACACGTCTTCGAGTTCCGATCGACGAAGGAATCGACCCAGGTGACTGCTACAATCAGTGCGCGTACGAGAAGGGCTACGCATTTGTGTGCTACCTGCGAAGTCTTGTGGGGTCGGATGCAGTACGAACGACATTTCACATTATCATTTTGTACACTTACAGAAATCGTTTTGGTCTTTCGGTGCAATTATTAGGTCTTTGACAATTTCCTTAAACGATATTGTGCTGAATATTGCTTTCAATCGATTCCAGCAGAGACAATGATCAATTTTTTTCTGGCTAATTTTCCAGAATTTGCGAACGCTGCCGGGACGGACCTCAAGAGTGGTATATCATTCGACACATGGCTGAATGAACCGGGTCATCCGCGCTTTACTCCAGACTTCTCTGATGCCCAAGTTATTATGCAAAATTGCGAAGTTCTAGCATCTCACTGGCGGTCAGCTGCCTACCCGGTACAATCAACCATTCTATATCTGTCGGAAGAAGCCAAACAGTGGGAGGCCCATGCATTGCTCTATTTCTTGGATTGCTGCCAAGAGGCTGAGTTTTTGAATGCGGGTGCTGTATGTTCGTTGGGTGACCACCTTTCATTATGGGACTCAAACAACTCGGAGATTCTGTATCGGTGGTCGCTAATTCTTATCAAAAACAACATCACCAGCAAGTTGCCCGTCGTGCGACGCTTTCTGGAGATGCAGGGCAAACAAAAGTTTCATCTACCAGTTTACCGCTCGCTCACATCAAGTCCTAAAAATGAAATGCGCAAATTTGCCTCTGAAACATTTGCCTTCACGAAAAATAAGCTGCATGTCATGGTTCGCAATCGTATTGAGCTCCTACTTACAGCTGCGCCAGTTTGAAGTCGAACATCCTAACTGGCAAGTCTGACGAGCTTTTAATACTTATGTTATGACCGTTCCTCACTTAGTTCATGCTGTCAAGACCATTATTCAACAAACTAAAAATGAAAGGTGCGGTAGGACATTGCCCTCACCTCTGCCCTCGCGACTTTTGATGGATTCCAAGTAGCTCACAACCGTTTCCCTTTTCATCTAAAAACTAGTTATCATCAAATAACTCGTTTAATTAGTCTTTTATTACATGATACTCCAGTATTCAAGAAATAATTTCTCAATTCTCGCCTGTCCTCAGATATTACCTGATAACGTATGAAACATTTTAAACAAAACGTAGATTATGCGCCGGAGTAGGAGACAGCGGTATGCAGAAATCTTATCGCCTCATTAATTATACTAAACAACTGTACATCCATTCTTGCAGATTGAACCGAGATAAAGTACTGGCGGACAGTAGTGACGACCCGGATGTGCTGCTTATTCTTAGCAGCGAGGAGGCACGATCACCAGCACAGAAAGTTAAGGCATTTGAGAAAGAAAGCTCCTGGAAGTGTTCCATGTGTACATTCATCAACGTAGATGTCACCAACTCTCAATGCAAACTGTGTGAAAGCTATCGTTCAAGTTCTCCACGAAAAGTGCAGAAGCTCTCTCAATGGCTATCGCTACCAGGAAACAAAAAAGCGATCGAGATCACTACTAATGAGCAGCCATCAGATTCTCGATTTAAACGTGTAGAAGGAGCAAACAGAAACACGAGTGGAGAAAATAATGACGTTGTTGAATTCACTTCTGTGCCACTACGTGACGGTCGAGCTGCACATTTCCGATGTAACGATATTGGCGTCAATAAGATTGCCGCTCAGACTCAAAAGGGTCTATGGGCAGATTTATATACTCCGAAGACGGTGGAAGATTTATGTGTGAACAGGAAGAAGGTGCATGAAATTGCTAAATGGCTGGAGTGTAATGCATCGCCGATTCCTGGAAGGCTACAAAAGCGGCTGCTTTTCTTGTGTGGTCCGCCGGGATCTGGCAAATCAACGGCAGTGCGCTGCATTGCCCGACAGCTTGGTTTGCAAATTAAAGAGTGGAAAGACAACTCAGCCGCAGGTTCGCTTGACTATAAGCGCAAGTTTCGAGAGGATTCCTGGATTCCGCATACATCTAGCTTAGACGATTTTTCTGATTTTATCTATCGCTCAACAGCCTTTACAGCACTCCCTGTCGCTACTTCTCGACACGCATCGACTATTAGGCACGAGCGCCGGTCGTCTTGCAGTCAACAGGGAGAGTTACCGGGTAGCACAAGACATATCGTCATAGTCGAGACCTGGCCACAATCATGGTCTAACGAAAATTCTTTGTGCGATGAAAAGCTACGGAAAATTTATCAAGCCATCACAGACCCCACAAGGATTTGCCATTATCCTGTTGTTTGTATCTACAGCGACGTTCGCGAAGGCAAGATTGATCTGGATCATTTGAGCCGAATTTTTTCTACCGCGGTGATAAATTCGCCGCAGACGACAATTATTCATGTGAACGCTGTGACGTCTCCGCAGCTGAAGAAACATTTAAAGTATGTGGCTGCACAAGAGAAGTGTCGGTTCCACTCAGCAGATTTCGATAGTATTATCGGCAAATGCAACGGTGATATGCGACATGCATTAAACATGTTGCAGTTATTGCAACCTGCAAACGTGACAAAGCACGAATCTATGCCGACGTCCCCAATTAAATCAGTTAAGAAGTTGTCTGTGAATTCCAAGTCATCATCAGTGATAAGGTCTGGCGCTCGTGATCTATTTCTCTCTGAATTTCACGTGATTGGAAAATTGCTTTACGGAAAAACTATTGAAAACAATTTTGAAGAACCTACTTTATTGAATAGTGATGCGAATGACAGAGGCTACGATCAAATTTTTGATGCGTCTACGATGACCCTCGATCGAATTCTTGGACTTGTTCATGAAAACAGCATAGCATTTTTCTCGCAAATTGATGGTTTATCTGATGCTATGGAGCTGATGAGTCTGTGTGAATCAATAATTGCTGAATCCTACAAATGCGTTAGCAGCTCTGTGGTACGCTGATAATCACATTGCTTCCATTGCACAGTTCTTACTAAAGGTGAATTTTAACGCATTTTAGGTCTCAATACGCTCGCACGATGTTGCCCGAGCAATTTTAACGCGAACAGTTGCGATTACCAACGAGATTCCTGCACCAAAGGCATTTCGATCAATCACGCGACCGCGAGCTTTTTTAGCCAAGCAGCGTATTGTGTCGCGTCGTGAGGAGATGTTCGTTACCACACGAGGTGTAAATGGTCTTGACTATGCATGCACGGGTGACATATTTGTCTTCGAAGTAGAACCCTTCCTGACAATAATGGATCGAGAGGGTAGGAGCCTAACTCAGCAGCATCCAGGTCGGGCTGAACTTTCCATCAACGATTTGTCGCCGCAAGAAGTGTACGATGACATTGAGATTAGTGACAGTGAATGGTAAATATTTGACGATAATACACCTGTAAGCTTGAAGCGCAATTATGACGAACACGTAGCGAAGTAGATCCCTAGGGCAGCAATTTTACCTTGTAATGCCTAGCTCGCACAAATCTAGAAGAATGCTTGATTTCTTGCCTTTGAAGCTTGTTCAATTCGGGATGGAAGCATGCATAATACCCGCAGATGAATCGCGATGTGGCACTTTGTGATGCTGAGAATGAGTTCTAATTTTATTTTAGGGAGAATAAAAAAAATGCCCAACTTTTGCCATATATAAAAAAAAATATCCCAACTTTTCAAAAAAT